AGGATTGAGCCAAATAGTCTATCAGTGTAATAAAAAATGTAAGAGCTTCTCAAATAAAAATAAACATTAGTCTCATTAAAAAATTAAAATTCTAAGTTTGGCCCACATATATAATGCTATATTACATATTAGAATATATATTATCTACATTGTTAGTACATTTACATTTATTTGTGGGGCATGACAAACAGTTTTTACTGATATGAATGCACAGTCAAACAAACATCCCTGCATTCTGTACCTTGAGATGGCACATTACAAATTTGTGCATTAGATGGTTCCACTTGGACTTCTTAAATATGGAAAGGTGTCCCGTGTCATGCTGTAGAAATGAACTCTGAGCCTAGGAGAGATGAAGTTGTTCTTAGAGGAGCTGGGAACTCAAGAAGAAAACAATAATTGAGCCCACTAGCAAATTCACTAGTCCCTTTGAGAACAGCGACAATCTCATCTGACCTAAAGCTAAGTTTAGTGTTTATTTCTCACATGTGTCATGTTCTTTCCAACCTCTGTCCCTTTGCAAAGGTGATTCTCTCAGCTTAGAATGCCCTCCTTTCCACTGTCAAAATCTTCCAATATGAAGCAGAAAGAGGATGGGCTTTGGAGTCAGACAGATTTGGGTTCTAATTTGTCTTCACCACCTATGACCTGCATGACTCTGGGCAAGTTACTCTGTAGCCCTGACCCTCAGTTCTTTATCTGATGAATGGAGATAATACTACCTGACTTGTGGGGCTATTGTGCAAATTACATACGTGTAAAGTGACCAGCTTATGCACCAACTGAATATTTGCTTCCTCTCTCATTTCCAAAAGTTGCCTTTCAAGGAATTAAGCAAGTGAGTTTTGCTAGAAAAAAAATTACCTTACAAAATTCTACCATATGACCCAGCAATCCCACTACTGGGTATATACCAAAGAAATGGAAAGTGTCATGTTGAAGGGATACCTGCACTTCCATGTTTATCACAGCTCTGTTCTCAATAGCTAAGATATGGAACCAACTTAAATGTACATCAACAGATGATTGGATAAAGAAAATGTGGTATATCTACATAATGGAATGCTACTCAGCCATAACAAAGAATGGAATTCTGCTATTTGCAGCAACGTGGATGAACTTGGAGAAAATCATGCTAAGTAAAATAAGCCAGGCACAGAAAGAGAAATTCCGCATGCTCTCACTTATATATGGGAGCTAAAAAAGAGAAAACAGAACAAAACAAAAAAACCCACAAAAATAAACAATAATGATAAGTTGGACTGTCAAATGGAGAGGGAGGAACTATAGTTACTAGAGGTGGGAGGGGTGTCTGGTGAG